ATGTTCACAAGATGTGAATGCCTGTCTGCACGCTAATTGGATTGTGAGGATATGAGGCAGTGATTGGGGAATCAGTTGCCCGCCTGCGGATGATTGGCTCCTGTCTGATGACTGCCCATGGATGACTGTTTTTTGAGCTTCTCAACTGGTGACAATTTCTCAACAACTGAGTTAATTCACTTTGTAGCCAGGCGTGGCTTTAAAGGACAGACATCAGATGGTGAGACCAGCACACAGACATGCCTTTGACTATAAAAGTCCACCTTAAAATACAGCTTTATTGAAATAACCTGATGCCACAGATGACAAGAGAAAGACAAAATGGGCTGTTGGCAGGCTGGATGCTGCATGCCCATTAGTGCTGTGGGAACAGGACCTTTAATGTCCACAACTCCATCGTTTGTTGTCCAATAAATCATTTCAGAAAGCTCTGGATGGACGTGTCCGACAATATGATCCTGCCCCTAAAACATGTCCACCAACCTTTCAGGAAGAGTGGGACAACATTTCACAAGCAGCATCAAAAACCTTATTAACAGTCTATGTCGCAGATGTTTCACTTGTTACTGACTTTTTGGTCTATGATCCCGCTCTCATTCTGCCCACTATCAGTTCAAATTTAGTGCACATTTGGTTGTTTCATGACATCCATTCTGTTGTAGAGATGTGTTGAAATAACAAATATTTATTCTATTATGGTAAATAGAATGGCTAGAATGTTAAAAATATATTATACGCAGCATTGAAATATTAGTTTAGTATATATTGTAAAAATACCCCTATTATTACAAAATTCCATTCTGGAATGCGCCGCTAGGTGGCGGCAATTTGTAACAGCTCTCTTTGCTTTTGAGGTTTTTTTTATATATATATTGTTGTCTTTTTATTGACATTACCTGTCAGATTGTTTTTTCTTGGATGATTTTTTATGCTGAGTTGAAATCTCTGCAACTCAGGAGATTTTTCTACATATATTTTGCCTTTTTCACAAGTTGTTATGATGAGTATCCATGGCAACGGAAAAATTGTCTACAATCGGGATCGACTGTTAAAACTCTCCCAAATCAAGATTTTCAGCGAAATAATACATCAAATCCCAGTGGAGTTAAAGAGGAAGAGAAGAGGTTGCAGAGCAGGGGTAAGGCAGAGAGAAAAACGGTGGAGATTTAAACCGTTTCTTCCAACTGTTGTGATGGGTAACGTAAGATC